AAAAAAAAAAAAAAAAGTAAAATTACAGTTTGAAGGAAAGACAGGCCAGCAGTAAGGCAAAGAGATACATTTGTTTTGTTAGATCTCGATTCATTTTAAATCGAAAGCACAAGCCTCTTAAAGTTGAAATGGAGACCATCTGAAGAACTAGAGAAACCATCTCACCAATGGGTAAATAGTACTATATGCATCTATAGTGCAGGTGCATTTCTTCCTTCCTAATGCATTTTTTTTATTTAACAGACATTTAATGATTAAAGCCTTAGTGAACAGGTCCGCACTTCCCAGAAACGCATTTTCTGAAAGTTGAGGCAAAACAACTTTTTTTTTTACAGAACTAATTTAAAAACCTCTCGGCACAACAACAACAAAATCTGTTTTCCAAAACAGCCTTTCTTCCTAAACTTCTCATCTTAAAGAACTATTTTACCTGGTGCAATTGCATAAACATCAAAATCCTTAATTCCTTCTTCTCTCAAGAGAGTTTCATCAATAACGAAGTTTCCAGTGAAACTTTTTGGTTTTGTTAAAATGCAATAAGCAGCATCTGCAAGGATGTCTGTTTTTCGGCACTGTTTTTCTACCCCACTTCCTCCCAGCATATCCATAGCAGATGTATAAATGGCTAGAAAGTTCAGAGAAAAAGAAAACAAAAGGTTAAACATTGATGTTGTTTTATTTCCCTCTTTCATGTAACTAGTTAATAGACATTTTTCTTTTACAGAACCAAAAAGAGGGATAATGGGAAAGGTTTAAGACATTCACATCCCTCTCCCCCTCTATCAACGCACATGTACCTGCACCAGTCTTTCTCATGGATTTCTTCCAGGTTATTCAGGACATGAAAAATTAACAAAACAACTACCTTCCTCAAAGTAAGCGTATGGTATCAGTAATCAATGGGTATTTTATTCAGCGATAACCACACTGAATATCTCCTTGCTCAATTTTAACATTGCAATAAATCTTGTGAAATAACAATGTCTCTCGTAAATTAAAGATGACAAACTGAATAGAGAAAACCCAAATAACTTGTTCAATATTCCACAGAAAGGCAGATCTCCAGATCTCCTATGCTTTTGACCGTTATTAACTAATTCTGCTAACTACTGAACTGTTCCATTTGTCTTCCTTATTTTTCCCCAGAGAAAAACTAATATTGTGGCACATTCCAACTTAAGTCTTTAATTTCCTCTTCCAAGTTGAAGCATCTATTTCATTTCACTTTCATCCTCTTCCACAAAAAGGCTGTTTGTTACAGCTTCTGGTATTTGCCATATTACTGGCCTTCCATCATGCAGTTTTACTTCATGACTTCTTCCCATCTACTGTTCAAGATCCCATACACTCTGCCCCCTCCCCTGTATGTTCCAGGGCAGACTCACAAATCCTTTCTTGCATTTGAGGCTGGTAGGTCCTAGAGGTGGAATGATAAACTGGGTTCCCAAGTAACCTTTGTCCTCTTTTTAGTGCTCACACTCTACACAAAGTAACGGCAGCTTTGATGCAAGAGTGATTACAACATCCTTTAGCAAGCAGAGATTAGACATTGAGCAGAGTACCTCCGTCTGATGCATCATTCACCTTCCAATTAAGAAATGGGAAAAGGAAAGACGGTCTTAAATGCTGCTAGGGATAGCCTACTCAAAGTGGGCTCTGGAAAAGTACAAAAGGTGGCTGACCTTGTCCACTCATTGCCAAGGGTTATTTTGCTCTTCTGTGGTGAGAATTAGTTTTCATACACTTTTGATCAATCTCATTTTCTTTTTTATTTCAAATCAACTGAACCACTATAAACATAATCCTCTTTGAGATAGATGGCAAATAAATAAACTGTACAAAGTTTCCCTAGGTCTTTTTCTCCTCTTGAAGGACAGACTATACGTTAGCCTTTCTTTGGTCCTCTGGGACATGGCCTGTCCCACAAGATTTTTTTTTTTTTTAAAAGATAATATCTGAACTGTCAGTAATTATTTCAGTGAGGTACTCTGATAAAATTTATCCATCCTGTTGTCCTGAATACTTTTTATTACTCTGAGGATGCATTGATCTGTTCATTTTCCCTGGCCCACGCTCCTGCTACTTCCTACCTATGTCAACTGTTACGCTTCTAATCACAATGAGTGTCTATGTGTACAGACTGAAGCAAAACAGCTTTCTGCAGCTTCCACCTCATACTCTGGTTGTGCATCCTTTCACCTATTCTATGTAAAAAGCATCTGCTTTTCATCTAATGCACATGAAAAAAGTCTTCTACATGCCCTACTACTAGTAGCTCCCAACATACATCTACTGCTTATACACATTCAGCCTTACTGATGAGGTCCCTCCCCACTTCTTTTTGGTAGAGTTACTCTCAAATTTTAGGTGACTAGAAAGCTCCTGTTATCTTACTACCAGTACATTTCCCTGTGTTTAACAAAGGTTAATTTTCTCCTAGATAGCACCTCTGAAGTTTGATTAACCAATATCAAGGAATTTGCATCCGTACCAGCATAACCTCCAGTGCTGAGGTTACTCATATTTATGAGAGACTGTAGTAGATTTTATTAAAAAAAAACAACAACACACTTTCCAACTGTATTTTAGATACCACAGAAATCTAACTCTTATCTCTGTGTGGATATCTCACATGGAAGTAGTTAACTTTCTCACTTTGGGAAGATAAGTTTTGAAACAACTTTTGTTCATTCTAGACAATGAACATTATTATCCCCTTTTATACTTGAGGGCATAGCAATAGTTTTCATGGAGGCATCACTGATTTTATATAAACTTAGCTCATGTCTAACGTTTTAACACAAACTGAATGATCAAGAATAGATTCAGCAACACTAAGCTTCGTCTGCATGCAGAACCTTTGGCTTTGCAGAAAGCTTCATTATTTTTTAAATTGCTTCACAGCATTTCACACAGAAATAACTTTATAAACAAAGAGGTATTGGAATACGCTGTTGCCATATATAAACTGAATCTTCCTTCACTTAAGAGCTTCAGGTTCTGCAGGCTTCTAAGGGGAACAAATATTAGCTATATTCAAAAAAAAGTTTGCCAGCTTCTGAAGTATTATCCTCTTACTTATCAGATACAAACATTTTAAAGCACACAGTGGCACCCAACCACACAATGGAAGGCTACTACTTTCTTTGTGCTTTTCTTTTTAAGAGAAGAATACAAGATTTTGCAAAGTTTAATTCATGTAATCCTAGACACCCTTCAATACTTATGAGCAGATGGGAGATGCTGGTACTGTTACTAACATTTGGAATGCTACAGCATATGCAAACACTGAAGAAATAAGGTATTCAGCTACAAAGAGACACATGATTTCTGCCTATAAAGTCATCTCTGAAAAATTTCTGACTGTGAATGGGTTGACAAGTTTTCTCAGGTTTTGTTTTCCTTTGTCAAGAAAAAGAGGCCGAATTCTTGAGACAGGGGGAGGGGGGGGGGTCGCTAATTTGCGAAATAAAGCTCTAGTATGATCAGCTGGTGTTTGCTGCTAGAATTCTTTGGCTTTCAATATGTTTGTGCTGTGCAAATGAGTCAGTAGCCTTTTTAGGCACACTTTCTCCAGAATGCTTTCTCCAAGATATCTAGAATCATCGAGGAAAGATCTGGAACAATCAGAAGGCTCCGGAGGGTGCACATGATGGTGCCTATGCACACATGTACAATAAATCTTTTACGTCCAGGGCAGGAGAAAATAAGTCAAATTACTTATGCTCCCTGCAGCTTGATGGCACGTCCCTGTCTAGAAGAGATATTCTAAGTGAATTCCTTCCTCTTGCCAATTTACATTGCTTAATCAGCTAGTTTTAGTCCCCCAAAAACACCAAATAGTAAATAACAAAAATCTTCTCTGCTAATTGAAAATCAAAATATTCCTATACAGAAGAGTCTGAGGAGATATAAAACCCCATTAGCAGCAGCCTTTTAGGTATAAGCCAAGAGGGATGGGTATGTGGTTTAGGGAGTTGAAGGCTTTAAGAACAGAGTCTCATGGCCTTGTTCCCGGTAACAAAGACAGACCCTGGCAAGTCTCCAATGAAACTTTTCTGAGGTTTCCCTGGAGCGTTCAGGAAGCAAGTATCTGCAAACCAGCACGTGTTTCTTCTAACTCCTTCAGAAACATAAGATAAAACAGGGACCCAAAACCTGAAAGGTGAGTTTTCACTCCATTGCAAGGAAGGCAATCCAGACTCTGAAGCTACAGAGGCTCTTTCCTTCAGTATACCAAAGATGAAGAGTTTAATCCTGAAAAAATAGACAGTTCTCTAAAAATCAACCCTGTTTACTAACACACACAACTGTTAGCACTTTTTATTTCTCTTCCTTATCTTAAGGCTAGGACAGACAAGCAAATCCAATTGGTACCAAATGCAAAGGGGTTCTTCACGTTGGAGACACCCTTAGAATACACGCACTCTCAGAATTCAATTCTGACAGCCCTGAAGATATGAGCTTTGCCAGAGAAGACAAATATACCATTACCAAACTCCAAGAGCTTCTCCCAGCTCCTTGCTTTGCACCCAAAACTCAAGATCCACTCATGAAGACCGTGAAAAAACAGGCAGACAGAAGACCTCTGGGACAGCTCTACTTCCATCTAAGCTAAAAAGAGTAGCTCGCAGACAAGAATTTTAACTGTCTAGTCTTGAAAGTTATAAACAGAACACAAAATAAATGTGAGCAAAAAACCAAACATCTTAGATAGCAAACTTATGTATATCTTTTTATCCTTTTATCTATTATGGACCACAAATCAGTAGCATAAATATTCAGCAGCTAGAGACAACTAATCACTTATTGTGCGTGAGTGGCATGTTCTCTTAGCTCCTCCAACCTGGGATAATTGAATAAACAAGAATAATAAGAATCAACATGTAGGCTAAAGGGAGAGAGTAGTAGAAAAGTGTAGCGTGCAGCATTTTGTATTTTTTGATTCTTAAAATTAAAATTCAGCTACTTTTCACATAACAGAATCTAGCATGATGTACATTCAGCTTTTGTATCCATATAGTTATCATTCAGAAAGCCAATCCCTTACCAAAATACTTATACATATAAAATACAGGGTGTGAGTAGAGTTGCAAGGCATCCCTTTACTGGCAGGGCATAGGATGCAAGCATCCCGACCAACAAGAAAGGTCAGTAGGTCTGTCAGATGTGCTAATCCAAGTGTTCAAGCGAGTACCACCTAAGCATTAATCAAAGAAACTAAGCTGATTTGGACTGAAATCCTAAGTTTTGCTAATATCCCTCATTTTAAACAAAGCAAATTTGTTACTAGAAACATAACTTCACACTAGAAGTTATCGAAGGGCCTGTGGCTCCCAACAGGAGAACGTTAAAAAGTATCTGAGTAGATCTGGTATCATTGCATACATTCTGGTATTATTTCCTGCACCAGACAGCTAACACCACAAAAATCTCATTTCATGTTAACATTTCCTCTCCCTTAAAGGGGGCTCCACTGGTTCGTGGAATAAGTTCTTTTGTTATAACATCTTCTAACACAAGGACTGGGTTCACATTAGTAAAGGGCAGGACTTCCTTCCAGTTTTAACATATCTGTGTGCAAAAAATGATATTGATATTTGGGATAAAGAGACTGACTTACTTCGGCAAACAGCTGACTAGAAAAACCGAGCTGCAGCTCCAATCCTCACTGACTCATAGACAACACACCTAAGTTAACAGGACATGGGAATGTCAAGTTTTTTCCTTCTACAAAACTAATGTCCCGTGACCAGCAAGCAAGCAATGTCAGAGGCTTCTGTGAAAAACCCGTATGGTGGACCAGCATGCAAGAACTCACAGGAAATTTTTCCTGCATCCACAGAAGTATGTCAATTCCATCTATACCCTGCCAATCCAACTAGCAAGGATTTCTAAATAGCGCTACATAAACAGATGTTTGATACCTACTAATGGAAACATGTTGGTATTTTTGTGATGCTATACAAAGCAAAACGCAAGGCACATAGGCAAAGCCAAATGGCTTCAGCTAACTGAAAGGGGTGAATGGGTTATAGTCTAGCTGAAGATAAGTTTGCATCAAAGTGGCAATGGTCTACTGAGAACTTTGAATAAAAAACAACATCTGTGAGATGAACAAAATACGTAAAAGAACCATTAAGTGCCCTGAATCAATTTCAGAATCAGTTTAATGTATATTCAAAGCTAAATAAATCAATCCATGGGAGACAAAAATACAGTTATTAGTACCATAAAAACAAATTACCTGTTTTAGGCCATAAAGCATTGACAGCAACTTCTCCTCTAAATTCTTCTGCCATTCCCAAGACACACATAGACATCCCATATTTAGAAATTGTATAAGCTAAGACAAAATTTATTAAAAAAACAATATTTAGTATTTAGTATGACAAAAATTTACTGTTTGTGTTCAAACCTTTAATTATAGGGGACAGAAAAGTCACGTTACTTGTTCATAAGGAAAACCAAGTCTCTTACAGCAAAACAGTATATTCCTAGACTTAAAAAAAACGACACACGCACCAGACATGAACTCGTCTGCCATCTTTTTTTCCCCCACTAGGACTAAAATGAAAGCAATGAAATGCTTTTTTTTTTTTTAATTTTAAAAAAGCTGAAACAATGACTGAAGGTTAACTTTATAGTTTTCTTTTACATGATTTATTTATAGCACTTGGACAGATCTCTCAAATTTTTTCCAGAGACCCAAAGCATAATAATAGCTTATGACCAATGTAATATTCTACGAAAAAAAGAAATTCTGTATCTTTCCTGTCATTTTTCAGGAAGGAAACTTTTCAGGGAAAGAACTGGGCCTTGCCATGGACGTTTATGACAACAACTGTCCAAAAGTGAAAGGTGTTTTACAGGTTTGAAACGAACAACACATGTTTTAACCTCAGAAAAGAA